AAGAGAGACGTGGCCACATGTAGGACCCACTGAGTCCTCATTCACAAGCAAGTGATATACAGACCAAGAAAAAGAGAGGGCATCACTCATTTCCAGACCAGGCCAAGGGAGTTTCCAGGAGGCAGAGATCTCAGGGGTCAACGGACCTTCCTTCTGTGTGGACGTTGGCAGGGGGCACAGGCAGCTGCTCCCATAGGAAGCATAAAACGCAGGGATCAGGGGGAATGTCCTGGGGTCAGGGTGGTCACCTTGGGGTTCCCAGACATCCAGGCTGGTGGTGTCTATTGTCCAGAATCCCAGGGCTGGAAGCAAGGGCTGCTCACCTGTGCGTCTAGATGGAGGTGTGTGTACAGTACACACACACACACACACACACACACACACACACACACACACACCCCTTCCTCTGTCCACTTCTCCCTTGTCAATAAAACTTCTAGAACATGCATGGCCACTGCCTCTTGAGAGGAGACGCCTCTTTGTCCTCCTGTAGGAGGAATCAGAGGGGCTGTACAGGCAGTGACATCACAGAACCGACTGTCCTCCACCTGCCCTGCAAGAGGTGGCTTGTCTCTGTTTTTCCAGGGAAGGTAAGCACCGGCCTCCACCTCCTGGCCCTTCACCCTGGTCTTGCCAGCTCCCGATGGCCGTGGGAGCTGAAGAACTTCCTGGCAGGAGTGGGCACTGGGAAAGAGCCCCACGGGGCCTGCGCTGGAATGTCACCCTCAAGCAGTGGCCCAGACGGAAAGAAAAGCAGCTGAGGCTGAAGTTCCATAGAGGGGCCTGGAGCCCATCATCCTTGGGTTCAAGTCCCCAACTGACCACTCAGGAACTAGCTGGTTACTTTTAGGCCAGCTGCTAACCCTCTCTGTACTCTAAAAACAAGACCATGATTCCCTAGCACAGACCTTTGGAAGGGCCCAGGGCCATGTCGCAGGCCCTCAATTTATGTTCCTTCCATCCCTTTGTCATCAGAACAGGAAGAGGGGCTGTGGGCTCGTGTCCTGGTTGCTGAGCTGAGAAGTGAGCATTCCTAAAAGAAAGTCCAGGACCCTTTGGGGAAACTGAGGTCCCTCTGTGGGATTACTGTCCCCTGTCTGGACAAGGTGGTTGGGTACCAACCTGTGAGCAACTGTGATGTTACCATGACAACCAAAAGGCAGGTGCTGGGATGCTGAATCCGCTGACTATTCAGAAGGCGCTGGGTGCTTTGCCATAAGATCTGTTTTCAGACAACGAGCTTTTGTTTGCTTGTTTTTGTCTTTAGTTTTCAATTAGCAATAATCGTGCCTCGGATAAACCTCATTGGCTACGATACTGCCACTGTGCAAAGCTGAGCTTTTGTTTTTTAATTGCCTTTTAAAAACCAAGTCCCCCTTCTTATAACTTTGTCAGACAGAAGGCATTTCTCTTGTAATTGGAACCGAGGGAGAAATGATGGCTGGATTAAGTCTTTGGAATCTGGCCCTCTGCTGGAGGTGCCATGGGTTCTGCCAACCAGAAGATGGGAGCCACCTGTGGGCATGTCCTCAAACTTTCCCTTTTGACACCTCAGTGGTCTCCTAGACAATGGAGGGGGGGCCAGCCTGCAAAAGCTCAGGAGGACTCTCTTTCCAGGATTTGCACCCAGGAGTTCTTCATGTCCCAGAAGAAATTAAAACAAATATGAATTTCCTGGACTGAATCCCAATGCAAAGCAGGTGGATGTACAAGTGTCTCAAGTATGGAAGGAACGTCTGCAATGCCTTGGGGAGGGGGCGGGACTTGCAGGGCTCAGGGACCCCTGTCAACTGGTGAGGCAGCTGGTGGGCAGTGGTGGAAGGTCATTCTTACACTTTGATGATGAACACCTCCAAATTCTGCCGGCTGAGCATGAGACCAAGACATGGAGGTCAGGATGGCTGAGGCAGAGACACCTAAGGGCCACCACAATCCACTCTCCCCTTCTTTCTTACTAAAAGAACCCCATTTTGTTGGGGGCCATGTTCCCAGACTCCTTGCAGATTGAAGGGACCCATGGGACACAGTCCTGGCCAAGAGCTGACAGCAGAAGTCTGGGTAGAACTTCTGGGAAAACTCCTGAAAAGGGGGCGGGCTCAGCTAGCTCACCGCCTTCTTCCTACCTGGAATCCAGATGAAAAATCGGAGCTAGCGCAAGTATCTAGGGCCATGAGGAAAAGGAGAGAGAAAGATGCAAACACCTGGGCCCCGAGGAAACGATGCCAACAACTGCTAAGCTCTAGACTTCCCAGGATAAGGGAACGCAAAGTCCCTCATTTGTTTGTCACAGTTGGTGGGAGGAGGAATTCTGATATTGGTGGCTGGATCTAGGGATTTCCCCTCCAGGCAGGAGCCCACCACCATCTTCCTAGAAAAATCTAACATTTCAGGTAGCACAGGCATCTCCAGGACTAATTTCTCCCTTTACCAGCGGTTGGGGGAGGGTGGCAGGGAACTCGCCCAAGCTGTTAACAGCAGGGCTGCATTTCCGCCCTGGCCAGCACTGAGCGGTGTCCCTCTGTCATCCGATGGGCACAAGGACCTATCCCCACTTCCGGAACTAACTCCCTGAATTCACTGGGTGAACAGGAGCTGTTGGGACCTCAGGTTCCTCACCTGCAAAATGGGCACAAGTTGGAACAGGACAGAATATAAGAGCCCTCCCACTTCTGACAGCCTGAAAATCCCAGCAATTTAGGATTTCCTACTCCATTTTACTTCCCCTAAAAGTCCTATCTGGTCATTCATCCCAGTGCCAGCTTTGGGCGTGAGCTTGTTTCACCCAGGTACTAGACTAAGGAAAGGGTTTTTGAATTGAGAATATCCTAATTTTAAAGTTAAAAAAAAAAAAAAAAGAGGAGGCCAAAATTGAGTTTTCTGAATGGTATCAGGTACAAGGATGTCCAACAGGTTTTTCTCACAGGATGAATGTGATTGATTGGCAGTAACTGCCTGGCACGGGTTTGAGGACTGTGAGGTCCATCCAGGATGGAGAGAGGGAGGGGAAGGGCTCGGTGATCAGTTAGTGATGTCTGCCATGGGCGCAGTAACGTACGGACATGTCCACATATTTAACGCTGGGCCTGTGCTCACAGCTCACAGACTCACCATCTCTCCTCTGTTGATGACCCAGACTGGTGACAATCCGACTAGGGTGAGGGGAGCCCCCACTGGAGTAGCTGAGTTCCCATGAGAGAGGAAATTAGGGCATGATCCTGCCTGTGCCAGGGACCCAAGAGGCTAGCTCAAGGCTACTGTCCTGCCGCCAGTGAGAGACATTCCGATAACAGACTTTTTCAAAGTAAGTCACTGGTGTCTCAGGGTTCACAGATCACAGAGCAGGCGGGGACCTCAGGCACAGCCTCCCTCGGGGGCCTTTCCGCTCCTCAGCTCTGGGGAGAAACCCTAAGCAGGCAGTGAGAGGCACAAGAGGGTCTGCTAATCCATGGCCAAACCAATCTCTGGAACGTACACCACCAAACCAGACTCCAGCGGGGAAAAGTGGGTTCTCCGTTTGCTATTTCCAACCACAAGTTTTTACCATGAACCATGATTGCCGACTAATAATTGTGCTAGTGATAGAAATAATAATAAACTTGTAGCATTTGAGGGCTTGCACCCAGTGTGCAGGCAGCAATATGCCAGGGGGCCCTCTGTTGGCAAACTTGGCCCATGTTCAGGCCTTTGCCTGTCATACTCCTTGCCACCCCCCGCCCCCCCCCCACCCCGGGCTGCAAAGGGTCCCCAGCTTCCTTCTGCTGAAGCAGCTCAGGGATAAGCATTCTGATCCCTGCTCCCTGCCGGGAACCCCAGCCAGCTGCCCCAGGCAAAGAGGCTGCCAGAGGCAAGAGATGGAAGTGGGTCCCTGTCTTCCAGGACTCATTTTCTCTGTATCCAGGAGGGGAGTTGGGTGCCAGCAAACAAACACACTCACTGCTGGAATTTTTCATGCAATTCAACAAACCACAGCTGAAGTTCCTGCCCCGAGCTAGGCACTGGGGTTACTGTTATAGCAGCGGTGGCCTAGGACCTCGCAGGAGGGCAGAGGGGTGCTCAACTCCCCACTGAGCGTGTGAGGCTACAAGTGTGAAGATGACTGCAGCAACCCTTGGTAGTGACTCTGAAAGTGCAGGGCCAGCCCCACTGGGAGGCTGCTGTGGAAGCCTGGAGGGCAGGCAGGGCTGCTTGCTCATGAAACCCATGCCGAGGGCCTGCTGCAGCTGTGCCCTGGTAGAGCCCTCCTCCCAGCATGGGCTTCCGGAGGCAGACAAATGGGTTCACATCCCACTGCTGCAGGGACAAGTGTCTTTATATTTTTAAGCCTCAGCTTTCCCATTTCAAAAAAGGAAGAAAAGTCATACCAAACCAAGAGACTGGCTGTGGGGATTACAATCAAATATGGCTCGCGAAGTACCTACCGACGGGCAAGGCACCCACAGCACCAAAGAGAAGGCACTCTTTGTTTCTGCTGTCCTCACTCCCTCTGCTCCCCGGCTGAGCACCCTGGGAGTCTCCTGGCCTCATCTGCCACCCACACCTGCCCATCCCACCCCTCCCATCTTTTCTTTATAAACTCCCTCCAGGGTCCACGTGCAACTTTCTGCACTCAGAGATCAGACTCTGAAAAACGGGCAGGGGAGTGGGGAACAGCTAAGCAGGGTAACCGGCAGCTTTAACCATGCTCTCTTGTGTTTTTCTCCTCATCTTCCTCTTCGTACTTCCTCTCTCTCTCTCTCTCTCTCTCTCTCTCTCTCTCTCTCTCTCACACACACACACACACACACACACACACACACAGTGATATTCACATTCCTTACCACCCCTCTCACTCTGGGGACAGAGGAAAAATAAACACACGCGGGTCCCACCATGGCACCTTTCTCAAATGGCACTTTAAAGCTCTTCACGGCTCTTGTTCAGGAAGCTAGGAAGTCATAAAAATCATAATTGTCTGCACGCACTTTAAGCAAAAGAGATTACACTTGAAAAGCACCAGTAGATAGGTTGTTATATCATATTACAACTGTATTTATATGAAAGTAATGAAAATATCAGTTCTCTTTTTAAAAAAAAGTTATGCAAACAAGCAGATTCTATGGCATCATTATCAAAGTTTTAAAAATCTATTTAGACATTGCCACCCGCCAGCCCACATTCTGCAGTTTCTCCCTCCCCAACATCTGACTCAACTGCGGTGAAGTTGAACAGCTGTATCTTTTTGAAGTTACTGACAGGGATCCTGCTATGTGCTTCAGTGAACAGGGCTCCCCCTGGGACAGGCAGTGGCCGGGATTGGCTCTGGCCTTGCCATCTCTTGCTGTGTGCCTATAGGTGTTACTTCCCTTCTCTGGGCCTCAGTCTTCTCACCTGTGAAGTGGAAGGTTAGGAACAGAGACATTCGAAGGCCCCTGCCACAGCTCTGGCTTTCTAGAGCTGGACCTATACAACCCAATGAGCATCTGGGCTTGGCTGCCTGGGCCTGGGGTCTTGGTTCCTGCAGCCCCTGATTTTCCAGGCATGTGGTCGCCTGCAGGGTATGGCCTTGTGGCTTGGTTTCCAAATGTCTGGAAAAAGGTGTGCTTTCTGAGTCAGTGCCAAGTGCTCTTCTGGGCAACACCGTTTTCCTACGCCATGAGTATCCAGTTCCTGTTGATTCTGGGAAGCCTGGGTCCCTGCCTTGAGAGCTGCGCTGAGGCTGGGCCTGCGCTAGAAAGGGCTGGATCGGTGTGTGCGAGAAAAGGTGAGGGGCGTGGCGCTGGGGCCAGGGTCCTCTCAGGTCCTCACTTTTCCCCCTGCTTAAAGGGGCTTTCTGTGTCTATAACACTTCATGGTTCCAAAGGCCTACGGAATGCCTCTTGGTCTCCGATTGGTAGCTGAAAAGACAACATTGATTTATAAAGAGTAGGCACAAAGCATTTTTTAAAAAGGAAAACTTAGTGTTGACTTAGGGAAAACATGATCCAGTTATAAAGCACTTAGAACCACCCAGAATTCCCTGGGGAGGAAGGGATATGTTTCCGGCCTCAAGGCCCCAGCACAGAATCTGCCCAGCCCGTCCCAGCAGGTGCATAGAGGCCAACCACCTATTCAGGCCGGACAGGGCCTGGGTTTGGGTGCCTGGAGCCTGGCTCCCTTGTGGGGACATGTGCAGGCCATCCTTGGCCCAGAGGACCTGCCTCTGTCCAAAGTCCTTCTGGGAGGAGGAGGACAAGCCCTTCGGATGGTCCCAGCTCCAAGGCCGATCTCGTGTCTGTCTTGGACTCTGACCCCTAGTCCTTCGTATGGCAGGAGCTCCCCTTCTGCCTCTTCAGCTTGAGTTGGAGATGATGACAAACTTGCCCAAGAGGTAACGCATCTTCTCCGGCACTGTCAGGTGGGTGCTGCCCACAGAGTGTGCACACCATTCTGCAGGGAGACCCTAGCAGTAGAGCCTCTCTCCTGCTGTCTCCCTGAGCAGAACGCCCGGGGCACGGTCTGACCACTTCCCGAGGATTCCGTGCACGGCCCTGGTCACTCCTCATCGGTCTGTGCTATCGGGGGCTCCTGCACACGGTGCCCCCATTCTGCTGTCCTTTTTGGTTCTTTCTGGGTCTGCTCTTTGTAGTTCTTTCCTTCCCTTGATGTCCCTCTATCACTTGTCACTTTTCATTGCTATCACTGGGTCTGATTTTGATCACCATCACCATTTCTGCTTCTAATCCATAGCATCTAACCTGCTGTCGTTTTAAAAACTAGACAAGGATGTTTGTTCCCACTGCACCTAAAACAAGAGTCACTAGGCACTGAATGGGGGGACCTGGGATGCGATTCTGTGTTGACAACTCAGAGGCCTTTTCACTAACATCTGGGTTGCGGGTCGGCCTCTGGAGAAGAGCTTGCCATACAAGTGGCATGTTACTGTTCCTGCGCTCCAGGGCTGACTACAGACCAAGGCCACAAAAATCCCAACTAGTCCCCAACCACAAATAGACGCCATATATAAAACTTTCTATACATACGGAGCACTTACATACAGAGCATATAAAAATTCTATACATTATTCCCTGGTCACACATAGTACACATTTAGTATAAATAGACGAAGACGACGCTGTATAAAAAGTAGTTTTGTGCTGGGAACATCAACACAGTCTTTATGCTGGTGCAGCTCTGCCATCCAGCCCATCCCTGTTTCCCGGCTCCCGGGCGTCCTCAGGAGGAGCAGGGGGCTGACGCAAGGCTGGAGAAGAAAGTCACCTGGGTGCCCCCAGAGGGCTAGGTGGGCGGGGGGCCATCGTAGCGGAGCATGAACGCGAAGGAGCGGGCGAAGTTGTTGGCCAGGGTGCAGCTGCGGTCTTCTTCCCCCACGGGCAGCAGGAAGACCAGCAGCAAGAAGAGCAGCAGCAGCAGCTGCAGGGGCAGCGCCGCGCAGCAGGCCTTCCGGAAGAGCGAGCGGGTCCCTCGCAACCGCTGAGCCTGCGGAACCAAAGCAGGAGATGAGCGGAAGGAACCGGGGGCGTCGTGGGGCGGGGCGACGTGGGGCGGGTCGACGAGGATGCCCGGAGCCGCCCAGGCTCTGGGCTGATGATCTGACCTCCCAGGTCTGTTTTCCCATCTGTGAAGTTTTGCCAGAAACAAATATTTCCGTAGTTTACTCAAACCATTCAAGTCATGAAAGGAAGGAAAAAATATAAAGTTACAGGCTCTGTTAGTTATTCCAGAAACCTTTGCCTGGTTGTAAGAGTCCTCAGTGTAAGCTTTGAGAAGGGCACTCAACTTCTCTACACCTGAAATTTCTCATCTATAAATAGGAGGAGTCATGGTACCTGCCTGACAAGAATTGTTGTGAGGGATACATGAGACAGGGCCTGGCACATAGTAGGTACTCAAAACCGCTGTCATTATTATTATGCATGATTAATATCATCATCATCTAGATCACAGTCACCACCACCACCACCATCATCATCACCACCACCATGTTCATCGTCATGTTCTTCACCATCACTTTCTCCTCTTCCTCCTTCATCACTATCTTCATCATCAACCCCGTCAATAACACGTGATGGTCAGACTCACAAGTCCAAACACCTAATGGACTTGTTTGCTGTAATGTCCATGAAACATGAAAATGGCCAAAGGCATGTTCTAAATTTTAGAGGGACTGACTGGGTTGCGGCTTCATGGGAGTGCGGGACCAAGAGCTGGCTGCTCAGGAAAGTGGAGGCCCCCACAGTCACGATGCAGCATGGTGTAGGACAGGCACAGCTCTTAGGAACCGGCTGGCTAGGCTCCAATGCAGATTCTGTCACATACTGGCTGTGTGACCTTGGGCAAGTCCATAGCCTCTCTGAGCCTCTGTTTCCTCCTCTGCAAAATGGGAATAAAACACCTACTTCACACAGGCCAGGTGTGGTGAGGACTCAAACCAAAGTATATTCATACACCAATTAAAAAGTAATGCAGCTCTTATTAGTAGTATCATTACTGTAGAATGTATCTGCGGGCTCCCTGCAGAGCCAAAGGTTCCCCCTCCAGGGCACCAAAAGTTACAGTCAAGTGATGATGATGGTGCTGATGATGGGAGGAGGGATGGTGGTGATGGTGGGGGTGGTGGGGATGAGGTAACATTGCTAAATACAGGTGTTCCTGGAGGTTCTGACCTGGGTACTTCAGTTTCTCTACTTGTCATACCTGAGTCATCTTACCCACTCTCCTGCCCCAACTATCTCCTCCAGGTTGATAACACTTGCCTCTATGCCTCCTCCAGCCTCAAATGTTCTCACTCAAAGTCCCTAGACACTGATTTTGTAAAAATAGACTTCTTGTAACCCACACAATAGAGAAACACCCCGGCTGCATTTATTTCAGCAGTGACTTCAGGAGTGGGGGTGATGAGTCGCTTGACAATGAATTCACAGAGGAGGCGGCTCTTCCCACAGCCACGGGGCAGGCGCAGACCTTGTACCCCCGCCCACCCACTCAGCTCACGGCTCACAGCTCACGGCTCACATAGGGCTGCCTCAGTCTGCCGGGATCTAACTTGACTCCTTGACATCTCGTGTTGACTTTGCCTGATTCCAACAGGGAACCGGAAGAGGGTGAGACAACGTGCTGCAGGCCCTCCCCAGCCTGGGTTTACACCACAAATAAAAGCCTGTAATTAATGGTCTCCCAAGTGGAGAATCTATTTACAAGTGTTCTGTTTCTGTTTGCTCCTCCATTCGCAGAGCTAACACTCCGCTTATTGAAGTGAGGAGTTGTGCCTTGGCCATGATCCTCTGGGGAAAACATTTCTGAAGGTCTAAAGTGTGTTTGCATTAAGAAGTGTTGACAAGGGGTGGTCTTTTTCAAAGGACTCCCACTGCCTGCCCAGTGGCTATTTACTTAGAGCTCACATCCTTACTTTGAGGGACATGAATTCTAAAATGTTCTTCAAAATAAAAGACACATTTTTCATATGAACCTCAAATGCTCAGAAAATACACACACGCGCGCGCGCGCACACACACACACACACACACACACACACACACACACAAATAGGCATGAACTACCTTCTAAGAAGCTGACAGAGAAGTTGATAATCTCAGCTCTTGCCAGGTCTTGGAGTTTCTGTGTGCCTCAGTTTCCCCACAGAAAGTACTACCTGTGTCCCATCTAGTTAGAACTACCCAAAGTGAGAAGGGGCTTCCTCTAGATGTGCTAAGCTCCCCATCCCTTAAAGTACAGAAGCAGAGGGTTTACAGCACATAATGGCAGGGATGGAGTAGGAGGTGCTGTGTAGGGTAATTACATGCTCGGAAGTCCTTCAAGATCTCACACAAACCTGGGACTCCAGAGTTTTGAGTTCAGCAAGATGAGTTCGTATCACAGTAAATGTGACCTAATCTTCTGTCGTTGATGAAAGGGGATGCTGGGGGAGAGAAAAGGTTTGGAATTCTGGGTTCTAACCCTGGGTCTGTGTGACCTAGGACAGGCCTCTTAACTTCTCTGAGCCTCAGTTCCTTCATCTGTTGGGAAGAAGGGAGAATGATGCCTGCCTACCAAAGTTATAAGGATAATGAGGCAATGTGTGTATACTTCACATGCATAGTCAGTGCTAAATAAAGGCTCAGCCCTTTCCTCCTCTAACTGGTAGACACTGGAACAGAGGGGCAGCTCCTATTAGCCCCACAAGCTGTCCCCTCCACCAGATGCCAGGGATCAGGCACCATCAACCTCCCCAGCCCTATCAGAGAGAAAAGCTCCTCCCCCTTTAAATGCCATTGCTTGACTCCTAAAGGCCTTCACATCCTCCAGCCACAGGACCTTTGCACAGGCTATCCCTTCTGTCTGGAATACTCACTTCCCGCCTTCCTCCAATGCACCTAGTTAGCTCCTACTGGTCATTCTCACCTCAGCTGTGAGTTGCTTTCTCTGGGAGACCTTCCAGGCCCAAGAACCAAAACAAGCCCCATAACACCTCATGGCACCCCGACCTTTCCTTTGGATTCTGATCCAAGTCTGCATTCCCCTTGATGCCTTGGAGGCTGAATGACTGAAATAATGAATAAAAGCTCCTTCCCATCCTGTGCATCTAGCCGTCTGCTCCTCCTCCGGGGCCGTGGGGTGACCATGCAGACTGACCACTACCTGTCAACTGTGCCCAGGTGGTCCCCGGGACATCTGGGCTCCGCTCGTTAAAGAATGCACTGAACATGCACCGCCCCCTCCCCGCCCCTGGCCCTGTGCTCAGGGCTCCTCCTCACTCATGGCTTCCTGAGCTCCTGCACAGCTCTGCGGGCCTCCCTGGGACTCTCGGGGACTTTCCTGGGAACCGGTTGGGACTCATTCTTCACCACAGAAGCTTCCAGGCTGGCACCAAGAGCTCAAGGTGGCGGACAGGGGCCAGCTTTTCTCTGGCAACTCAAGATGGGCCAGCCCAACGCCCCTCATTAAGCTCTCACTTAGCAATTAGCTCAGTCCCTGAGGGTCCCTCTGACACTCTGCCAAGCCACGTGCTGGCTGGCTTCCTCTCCCTGGGTTTCCCCCAGACAATGTCCAGAATTGGGGCCCACTGCATTTCCCCAACTGCTCCCCGGAGCCTTCTGGCATCAGCAGTTCCCCAGGCCAGACCCTGCCCACAATGCCTTGGATATCTTCTTCCTAAGTTCTCGGTGCAGAAGCTCTGAGTTACAGTCCAAGATGCACTTCCCACGAGAGCTCAGAGGCTCCGACAGTTCCCACCCAGGAACAGGGTGGCAGTGGCTGGGCTGGGGCTGGTTCATTCTACCTCCTCACTGAGGTGGCTCTGAGCATGACGCTCAGGACACAGAACGGTATTTTTCCAGAACCCTAGGCTGGTTTGGAGAGGCACAGGAGATGAGACCATCCGAGCTGGCCTTTTGGAGGTGGTTTCGTTAATTGGTGGGGAGTACCTCTGGATGAAAGAATCAGGGTGAGGGGTGACTTTGTCGTTACTCAAGGAGGAATAGCGCCTCACTCAGGAGCAGATGTATGGGCGTAAGTTTCCCTCCCCTTTTCTTCCCTTCCTTCATCTTTCTTCATCTGAGATCCATCCATGACAAGGCTCTGAGCCTGGGACTAGAACCAAGGTCAGTGACGGTCCAGGATGACCTGGAAGCAGCCAGCTTGGGAAACTGGGTGGCCATGATGCTTTTCACAGATGTGGAGGGCTGGGGTTTGACTGGGGAATGCAATGGGGTCAGCTTCAGACCTGCTGCGTCTTAGGGGTCTGTGGGACTCCCAAGTAGATGTCTAGCAGGCCGTTGGACCTTTGGGACTGAAGTTAGAATGAGAGACCCAGATTGGAGATGGACCAGAGGCAGTGAGAGAACTAGAGTCAGAGAACAAAGCCATGGTGGTGGAAGGAATTGCCATGGAGAGAAGGATTCGTGAGAGGTAAAGGGGCCCTAGAGACCCTGGGGATACGACCACTTGAGGAAGAGAGACTGTATGTCAAGCGTCCCTAAGCAGTGCACACAGAGCACTTATTAATTACAAGAGAAATAGTAGCTTTACAGGAGAGAAATCCGGCAGCCACCACTTTAATCACATAATCAGAGTTAGCATCACCGGTGTTGGGGGGCATGTTAATATCGTGAGTCTCCCAATAAGATGCACTAAGAGGAACACAGCATCACTTCTGGGACATACCCGCCAGGAATGCACAGCCCAATTCCAATCACTAGGAAACATCGGGGAAATCCAACTTGAGGGACACTCTACAAAATGTCTGGCCTGTCTTCAAGGTCAAGTACAACTGAGGAATCATTCCAGCCTAGAGGAAGCTAAAGAAAAGTGATAACTGAATGCAAGGTGTGATCCTGGACTGAGGGAAAAATCAATCTATACAAATGACTGTAAATGGTACATCCATAAAATGGAATATTATTATTCAGTGGTAACAAGAAATGAGCTATCCAGCCACAAAAGGACATGGAGGAAACTTAAATGCAAATTGCTAAGTGAAA